GGTACTAATGTTTCAGTTGTTAAGAATATCATGGGACAAATGAAGTTACATTTAAAGCAGTGCTAAGACCACCAAAGGGGATTCTATATGCAACTACAAATAGTTTAATCAAGAAATCAATATAGCATAAGTTGCAAATGAGATGGAAGAATAAACAATTAAAAGATATTAAAATATTTTTAATCATAAAATAGAATTACAATAGAAGCTTATTAGGATACGAATCTTTTTAGCACAACAGGAAAAAGTACCATCACATATTTAAAGTAAATTTAAAGGGAGAGAAAAGATCAGTTTTAAAATATTCCATGTATTTCAGTAGTTTTTCATGCTTTCTTGATGAACTATTATAATGGTGTTACGGTTCCAAAGCAAAAGATGCTGAACACCAGAATAAGACCTTCAGACTTGTCCTGTGTACATCGGTCTTCTCTGATACATTCCGAAGAGTGTGTATTTAACCTGCAAATGGATATGGTGGGACTCCTTTCACGCCCAGTCCTGTTATCTATTAAAACAGAGAGAAAAAAATATTAGAGTAATAATCCACCGTTATCAGACACTTGCTTTCCTTGCACAACTGGACATGCTTTAATTTGAAAAGGACTGTGTACTCTAATTTGCCCTCCTATTTTATTTTGCACACATCAGCACATCACAGCCAGGAATTTCAACACATGCTCTTTCTCTAAAGCTCAATAATCTCAGGTCAGAGTCCATCCCTCAAAGGCCTCTTCTCTTAGATACTACTAAGCCTTAATTCTGCAGTTCACAATGTAACCTTCAGCATGCACACAGAGAAGAGCAGGGCTTTAAAACAAATCCCAAGGTAACAAATTTTTTAAGAGGTAATTTAGTTATAATTAATGAGAAAGTAAATAAAAGTGGATCTGTCATTGATTAAGACACATGAGTATTTACCCATTCTTTCCACAACAAATAGAAAATGCAAACAGTGTTGGGGTAGCGATAAAGAGGTGATGGCACAGAAAATTTACACTATCAGCATTGTTACAAAGTTTAAACCCAAAACTATTTTCAAATCTCTAAATGCATTTAACTTCCTCATACTGCAACAGGAACTAAAAATACAAACAATAGTTTAACATATATGACCAATCATCAAACAACCGCCCTTTTCCTGCTTCCTACCACTCCAAGTGGCTTGCTACCTGAAAAATGCAGGAGCAAAAAAATTACGATCTAAAATTACAGAAAAAAGCATCATTCACCTTGAAAATCCCACCAGCCTGTGGCTGTCGTGAAAGCCACTCTTTATCCATCCCATCACTGGCAGAAGTCACATACATTTCTGAATAATCCTTTCCTCCAAAACAGCAGGAAGTTGTTTTGTCAACTGGAAGTTTCACAGTCTGGAGTCTTTTCCCTGGAGGAAAACATGCACGATGTTTCCAGTTTGTCTACTTATAACAAGAAATTTAAACAAATTATTGTCAAAAACCTTTGTGGAGCCAAGTGTTCCTCAGAAGTGGGAACCAGGGCAGGGGGAGGACCCAGGCTGACTTTCAGCATACTGACGGAGCACCACAACAAGGAAGAAACCAGACTTCTGTGACAAAGTCGCTGATGATCACAAATCTCAGTTATCACAAACAAATCCCACCCCAATCCCAGTCTGTCCTCTAGTTAAACACGAACATCCACAGCAGAGACGCGCATCTGAGCTCGTCACCTAGACTGCCCAAGGAGTCAATGGAAATGAGATAAAATTCCTCTCTAAAACAGGTCACATGAATCACACCCTAGACCTGCTGACTTTTCTACTTTTAATTACAAAGGCAGCCTGGAGGGAGTAGACCTCGTGCAGCATTGTGGAGGCCAGCATTGTGGAGGCGTACCTCCTGCTACACCTCTAGTGCCTGCAGTTAAGGAAGATTAATTCCTAGAACTTTTTCCTGAAATTTCAATAGCCTTTCAAATCAAGCTTGCATAAAATAAGGATCATGGGACATGTCTGAAGTTTAGAAGAAACTAGTGCTACCATAACTAATATTACTCATTTATTACATCAACAAATAGCTACTGTCTTAATTACAGTGGTAGTGAACAGACTGCCTCCAGCCCTAACCAGAAGGCTGTCAAGACACCTTACAGCAGATTTTTCTAAAATTCTTGCTAATCCTGGAGTGCTTATTCCCATCAAATTTATTTTATTTACCTAGCATTGAATTTCTCTTTCTAGAAATATGCTAGAGCACATGAATCTCCTTACAAAACCTGTAATTTCTCTGCTCCCCCAACTGCATATATAAAGGGCTTGGTCCCCTTACAGTAACTAACTTTACTGATGTGTTGAAATAGTAACTTTGATGTTGGGAACTCTAGAAATTGGCTGACCCCAGTTCTGGGAGAAAATGGGTGGAAAGTGCATTCAAAGGGAAAAAAACATGGACTGTGAGAGAAGAGGCATGAGCCCCAAAGACAAGGGGAGAGACCTTGATGTGTCTCAATGGATAACAGCCTGGAAGATACAATTTACAAAGCTCTGAGATGAGCAATGTCTCCCTGGAGATTCAAGAAAATCTGCACCTGGATGCTCTACAATCTACCTGAAATATTCCTTTGTGCTTAGTATCTACAGAAGAGAGAAACTTAGCAAATCTTTTAGACACTAAAATTCAAAGGATACTAAAAACATTCACTAGAAAGAACTATAAAATATTTGGTTTAAACTGGATATTAGAAAAAATTTCTTCACTGAAAGGGTTGTCAAGCATTGGAACAGGTTGCCCAGGAAAGTGGTGGAATGATCATAGAGTCACAAGAGTATTCTGAGTTGGAAGGAACCCACAAGAACCATCAAGTCCAACTCTTAAGTGAATGGCCTCTGTGGGGATCAAACCCTGTAACCTTGGCATTATTTAGCAGCATACTCTAACCAACTGAGCTAATCTCATGTTCCCTGAAATGTTCAAAAATGTAGATGTGGTGCTTAGAGACATCATCTAGTGGTGGAGTTGGCAGTGCTGAGTTAATGGTTGGACTCAATGATCTTAGAGGTCTTTTCCAACCTTAATGATTCTAGGATTCCAATTAAAAGACATGACTGCATAAGAATAGCAGGTCACCAAAAGGTATGACAAGGCTTGCCACATACAAGTTAGACATCCTTTTTGAGCCCTTTGCAAACTTAGTGGGATCAGCCACCACAGTCTTTCCCTGTAGCATATGCTGAATCTAAAGGCAGCAACCACCTATGCTAAAGAAGCCTAGACCTGAAAAGCTGCTTCACCCTGAACCTCAAAACCTTCACTTAGGTGAAGATGCCAAACAAACAAGTTTCCTCACCCCATCTCCCAAAAAATCCCCCAAGGCTTTAACATCGCTAAAACTTGAAAATCCCTCATGTGTTTTAGATGAGCTCTTTATCATTAGATATATCTGCAACAAGCTGTCAGCCATTCAAGCCACACTTAATAGCTCTTTTGCATTCAAAGAGCGGCTTTCATGGAATTCTCTTCATACATGTCTTGGGTATCTCCCTAAATAATTATGATTCATTCAGAATTCAGCAAATTGCAGATTTTTAGAAATCACTTTAAAACGACAGCATGAGA